TGGCTTATTAGCCGTCATCAGCCAGTCATACCCAATCTCGAGGGTTGGCAAATCCTAATCTATTGTTCATAGTTTCTGACACAGAAAGGTTTAAAATGGCCCGACGCAAAGTAAAGTTCCTTCCTTCATCACGAGTTAATGTTCATTTGGTTTTTTGCGATAAAAGGTTTTCTTGTCAGTGTTATGGTCTATGGGCGTCAGAGACCAACACAATACTCAAGAAAGAGGGTGTCACAAAGTGGTACCTTCAAATTATACTTTTGGAGGTAGAGTGGATAAGGCAACTATTTTTCAGTCCTTACTGTCCTTCCCTGTTGACCTCCTGTAATGTACATTTCTACCAACTAGCGATGTCATGAGGAAGCGAGTACAAATGCCTTATCTAACAGCTATAAATTTTCGAATGCGGTTCCATACCAATAGGCCATTTTTGTTCCGAACATTACATATTATAATAATATTAAATTATTCAGGAAAGCAACATCGACTTCAAGTGCAGCTTGTTAACTTGATAAGAGTTGCTAGTACCAGGTGGATGGCTGAAACCGACACTGAGAGGCCAGCTAAAAAGTACCGACAGTTGTGTTTTGCGTTGGACTTACTGAGTACATTCCAGAACACTTTCATTGTATAGCGTTTTCGATGCATCTACTATTACCAACAGGACCCCATGTTACGCGATGAGGCGAAGCAAGGTTTACCTTTCACTCATCGTTAGTATTTTCAGACTGTACGTTTTTAATGATTTTCAATCATCTTGCAATTTTTATAAATCGGTTTAGCGAATAAATAGTCATAAGTAAATTTGAATTTCGATTAAAAGGGCATTTGTTTTCTCGACGAAATTATCACGCATGCTGAGCGTGACAGGCCATGAAAAATAGGCCGGGAAAAGAAGTGTCCTACGCATCAGCTAACCTGGGCCATGTTAGAGCACTTGAGCTTAAACGAATAACAATGGACCATTAAACCTACAGCATCTGGCCTATCTCAGGAGATGTAATTCAAAGTTATGTAATTTGTTTCTGCTAGAAAGAGTTATTTAGCTAGAGTTGTCATATTGATTATTTTGCAGCAAAATTCGCAGATATCTCAATTGCTACAGAATGCCATATTTTAAATGGGCTCTTTTTTGTCCGCGTGCTAGAACTTCGCTTGGTAGTACTGAATACCTATGTGGTTTACATTTTCCGCAATTATTTCGATGCCATTTTAAATTAAATGACGTTCTATGGAACAGTTACAGAGACATTTTCCCGCGCTGGGTAGCCACTTAAGTCATCCTCAAATTTACTACTTAAGCGAAAGATACCTTTCAGTATAAAAACATTTCAATCCTCCAATACGTTTTGGTCCAATCATCAGTTTCACGCACGCTTATGGTTTCCAAAGTTCATGCATCATTTTCCATATAAGAAACATCATACATTTTCCTGCACTATAAAGAATATAATGTACAAGGCTCATAAGACTTTGTTAGGAATTTCAACCACAAAATATTATAAAACGAAAAAAATGC